CACAAAAAAACTCAACACTTTGAGCTCTTTTTCTGGAAAGAAAAATGAAATCAATTTAAAAAAAAAATATAAAATCAAACACACTTTTTTTGGTGGGAAATTTGTCCTTCAAAACTTGGACATTGTTCCCAGCCCCAACACACTGGGACAGATAGAGAAATCAACCACCAGTTCCTCTTCGGAGAGAATACATTTATTACACTGTAGAATGCGTTTATTACACTGTCAGTAACATCTGGGTCGGAATGCCACGTTTACATTTACACTTTGCTGTGACATTTCTCTCCCTATCCCAAGCCCTTGGAGAGCTCATCAGAAGGTGCACTTCACTCCACAGAGGGTGCACGGCTCCACCTGAACACAGAATCCCAGTGGGTCAGGCTGGAAGGGACCACATTGGGTCATCTGGTCCTCCCTTGGCTCCAGCAGGGCCATCCCAGAGCACATGGCACAGGACTGTGTCCAGACGGTTCTGGAATATCTCCAGCGAGGGAGACACTCCACACCCTCTCCGGGGAATCTGTTCCAGTGCTCGGTCACTGCACAGGAGAGAAGTTCTTCCTCACACTCAGGTGGAACTTCCCGGGCATCAGATTCTGCCCGGTGCCTCTTGTCCTACTGCTGGGCACCACCGAGCGGAGCCTGGATCCATCCCCTCGGCACCCTCCCTTCAGATACTTATGTACACATATGTATGTGTATGCAGCATATAGTCTGTACACTATATATAAACTACACAGTGTGTATATAGATATAGACAGATACGGCAGGGCTAGAGGGGAATAAACCCCCCCACAAAGCGGTGCCCGGCAGCCCCGCACCTGTGCGGGAGAGGGTCCCCGCCGCGCCGGCCCTGCCTGCGGCGGCACCCGGGGCACGGCGGCGCCTCCCCGGCCATCACCCGCGTCCTGCCCGCGCTGAGTGCCCCCTGCCCCGGCCCCGTGCCCGCCGCCCCGGCCGTGCCCGCACTCACTGCCCATGGCGGTGGCGGCCCGGCCGCGGTCCCGGCGCTGTCCCCGCCGCTGTCGCCGCCGTCACGTGACGGGCGCTGCGGACGGGCCGTCCCTCCCCGCCCCGCCCCGCCCGGGGCGGTATCGCCCTCACGGAGCGGCCCCCGCGCCCTTCCCCCGGCGAAGGCAGCGGGATGGGCGGGCAGCGGGCCGGGATGGCCGCGCCGGGGGGATCAGGCTGCGGGCGGGCAGCCGGCGAGCAGAAGGACGGCGCTCCCGGGGTGCTCCGCGCGCCGCGAGGGGCGGGGGCGGCCCCGCACCGCCACACCTCGGCTTCTCTTGAGGGCGGGAAGCTCCCCGTCCTTCACCCGGCTCTTCTCGGACCCCAGGCGCTTTGGGGAGGTGTCCTCGGTGCTGTTGGTGCAGCAGTGTTCATGGGGAAAGCACAGGTTTAGTGGTTTGGTGCCGGAGTGTTTTATTCATACCCCAATCCACCCGTGTCGGTGGATGGATGTGGTAGTTTCTCAGGGGGAAAGGACATCGGGGCTCTGGAGCGTGTCCAGGGAAGGGCAACAGAGCTGGGGAAGGGTCTGGAGCACAAGTCCTATGAGGAGAGGCTGAGGGAGCTTGGGGGTGTTTAACCTGGAGAAAAGGAGGCTCAGGAGTGACTTTATCGCTCCCTAAAACTCCCTGACAGGAGGGTGTAGCCAGGTGGGGGTCGGGCTCCTCTCCCAGGCAAGCAGCGACAGGACAAGAGGACATAGTCACAAGCTGCACCAGGGTAGGTTTAGGTTGGACATTAAGAAGAATTTCTTCACAGAAAGGGTGATTAGACATTGGATTGGGCTGCCCAGGGAGGTGGGGAAGTCACCGTCCCTGGAGGAGTTTAAGGAAAGACTGGACGTGGCACTCAGTTCCCCTTGTCTGTTTGACAAGGTGGTGTTGGGTCACAGTTTGGACTCGATGATCTCAGAGGTCTTTTCCAACCTAATCGATCCTGTGAATTGAACCTGACAATAGAGACTGACTAGCAACGGGTATGATACCCATTCCAGTACCACCAAACCCAGTACCTTCTTCAGAGCCCTTAGTTACAATAGCCAGTGGTCTGTAAAATTAGGATTATCAGAATTTACTGCATTTAAATTTAGACAATTTAAAACAGTATTTATTCTCAGTAACTCACCCTATGCACAGGCTTGTATTCTTCCTGTGTTAGGCAAAGGTACTAAGAATGAACATGAGATATGTAAAGGATTAGGGCTCCTTCACAAACTTGAATCTGTATATTGGTTTGCACTCTGCATTCCCTGAGAAATCCTCTGAACCAAGACCATGCTACAATATCTTTAAACAATTTTTTTCAATAGCTTCCCTTATCTGAAATCACTTCAAAGAGCTTTTTCTTCCAGTTTATATGGTCATAATTTTACAAATACTAATGAGCAGTTCTGCAGCAATTACTTTCACCCATAATTCTTGAATAGTTTGACAAATGCCCATAATTAATGGGCCTGGCATCTTACTTGTAGATTATAATCTCCAAATAATTGCTGGGTTAATAGCTGAGTTTCAGGAAATTTCTTGTAATTACCCTTTGTCCAGAATTTTAGCCATACTTATCTTAATTTAATGAACTTCTACAGGTCTTGTTAGCTCACTTCTCACAGCAAACTGTCCTAAGTCACTGGCCCTTGTTGTGGTGATTGATAAAAAGTCCATGAGGTTTCTTTAGTCCATACTGACACAGATGAACCACCTCAGGTATGCTGAACAAATATTTCTGTGTCACTCACGAGTGGGTTCTCAGTGACAGAAATAAAAAAATCCAAATGCAGTATTGTTTTCTTTGCTTATTCACAATATTACTGTGTTCAGAACTTTGAACCTTCAAAATTCAGGTTAGATTTTTCAAATCTAAACTATCATCCCCGTTATTAAAAAAAAAGTTTTAAAATATTTGTTCTCCTGATGTGCCTTCCTCCTGTCACCGAGAGTTTCTGTTGCTTTGAATGAGCTGCTCAACCTAAGAACTCATTCCTTCAGTGCCTTTACTTTTTTTTTCTTCTATTCTCACACTCCTCTGAAAATCCTGACACACCACAATGCACAAGCCCTGTAACAGTCTCTCTTTTCAGACAGCTCCTTCGCTACCTAACAGCACACAAAGCTTCACTTCTCCTTGTCTTAATAACCCACAACATTCTCCTGTCCAAGGACTGGGACCAGCTCTGTGAGCCACTCACCAAACTTGTGTACCATTGCATCTGGCACTTCCCTGAGTTGTTTCCTGCACACTCAGGAAACTTGCTCCCGCTGTCAAGCAGTGCTCACCCCTGGGGCTTTTGCAAGGAAAAGGCTCTCCAACCAAACGGTGGCTGGGCACTGGAACAGGCTCCCCAGGGAAGTGGTCACAGCCCCAAGCCTGACAGAGTTCAAGAAGCATTTGGACGCTTTCAGGCACATGGTGTGGTTTTGGGGTTGTCCTGTGCAGGGCCAGGAGTGGGACTCAATGATCTGTGTGGGTCCCTTCCAACTCAGAATATTCTACGACTCTGTGATTCTAATTTCTGCTTCTTTTCCCAAATGCTTTTTGGCGAAAGCACTCCAGCCCCGTGCAGGCAGAGCCACGCCTACCTGCAGAGCAGAGCATGGTGCACAGATGGAAAACAGCCTTGTGTGCATCCAAAATCGATGGGAGAAACAGTGTAAGCCCCTAAGTCAGCAAGTGCTTTGTGTTGCTCCTGGGAGCTGTTAGCCATCATGGAAGAGCAGCGTTCTGCAGGCAGTCTGCGTCAGCAATTCCGAGGGGAGCTCTCCCTTCCCACCCCAGTATCCCTGGGGAGCTCCATGGCACACCAAGGCTGAGCAGGGGGCACTGAGCTGAGCAGCTCTGCAGAAATAGCTGTGTCTCCCACCAGGAGCATCAAACAGGCTTGGGGCACCCGAGCATCCTTTGCTTGGTTGGATAACCTGACCTGCACAGCCTGTGGTGCACAGCAAGGTCAGGTCTAGGCCACGTGAAACTCAAAACACAGGGTCTGTTCTTCCCTTGTGTGCCCTGTCATAGTGAAAAAAAAATGTGGGTTTATGTAATCACCAGTCAAGGCTGGTGATTGTGCTTTACAACTTCCTTGGCTACAGATGCAGCCAAAGCAATGTTTCTCTTCAGCCTCCTTTTTCTACTTATCAGCAGAAATTTAAACCAGAATACGCCTTGATTAGATAAAGCTGTTCAGGATGAGTAAGAAGTTGTGAAGTTTGCTAGAGCAAAGTGGGAGAAACATGATTTCACATCACAGGGATGGATGTGCTAAAGCAGTGACGTGAAACACCACAGAAGAGGGATTACAGAGGTTATTTCTGGGTCATATGGAGTTAATGAGTGAATGTGTGAATTAACTAGAATGAAACAGCAAAGCAGGCTTCAGAGATGATTTTGGGAGCTACCTCCCCAGCTGAATGCACACCCTGCCTGAGATCTGCCCTTCCTCACCTGCCATGACTTTCTGTTTGGAAGTGCTGGTTAAACCCCACTTGCTTCTTTCCAGAGAAGTCTTTGGCTCACAATGAGTTTGGATTACTCAACCATGCTCCCCCAGGTAACCTGGAGAGGAGCAGGGAGATGCCAACTTTACACTGAAACCTGAAAAAAAAAAAAACTGCTGGGAAAAATCCTATTTGGATGGGAATGCTGCTGTGGGGCAGTCAACACTGGGGTCTGCCTGGCCAGCTTTTACTTCTCTCTCCCATCCAGCTTCATTATTCCCCTGCTTACCCTCAATATTTTGATCATTTATCCTCTGTTTCTCAATTAAGACTGGTTTCTTTCCTTTCCCCAGATGACAGCTATGCTGAAACCTTCCCTCAGGGTTTCTCACCCTCCAGATGAAAAAAACAGTGGTGCCTGAAGCCTTCAGGAGCCATCCTGCAAGGTTTCCTCCCAGAATCCTGCTTTAACAACTCAGGCACTGATAAGAGCACCAACAGCCACAATAGATTTCATTCCTGGCCCACAGGGAAAGAAAAAAGGGAAAATTCACAACACTCTGCTACAGAAATGGCTCATTCCCAGGCATGGGGAAGCATTTATTTGACCAAACAGCACTAACACTTATGTGGAAACAGAAGAAACAGAGCCTGTTTCCACACATGCACCATCCCAGGAACTGTAAAGTGCAGATAAGCAGTGTGATATAAGGCATTATATAGTCACCTCACCAATCTGTCCCCTAGACTGGATTTTGGTTTTAACCTTAAAGAGATGTTTTGTAGAAAATACTACAAGAGAACAAGAAGTATCAAGAGTAACAGGAATCCTTTCTCATCATTAGGTTTTCCCCTACATGAAAAAATTTCTTCATCATTACCAAACTCATTCCACCCTTTTTTTGGTTTCCATTTTGGAGAACCAAGAGTCTTAAGGATCTGGCCTTTGTTCTTCTTCACAGGAGGAGGCACCAAACACGACTGGCAGCAGGAGCAGTCTGTCTGTTGAAAACTCAGAGAAATGTCTTCCTCAGAACGTCTTCCTGCTGCTGGTTGTGGAGGGTTCCAATGCCAACAGCTGGGGCTGGGAGGGGAGGTCTGCTCACAAGGCGGAGCTGAAATTGGAGTTGGGAGGAAATGATCAATGAAGCACAGGAACAGGGTTGTATCTTGAGGTCCTGATGCCATGGGGATATCTGCTGGCAGATATCACCAGCTGGAAGTAATGCAGGAAGTTGTCCTCCATCTCCCACAGACCGTGGCTCAAAGGACATTATAGTGCATGATATGCCAGAGCAAATGGCAGCTTTGGATTCTTCTCCTACTCCAAGCATGCTGTTTCCTACCTGGGATCTTTCGTTATCCTATCTACTTTGATTAAACACAGAGCAAAATAAGGCTCCAGTCTTGCCCATCACCAATGGTGCTATAAAGAGCAGAAGCAGCTTAAATTAGAACGTGTTTGGTTTAGGCATCAGGATTAGGTTTTTGTGTAAGCACCACAGAATTTTGCATTTCAGGAGAACTTTGAACTTCATAACACTTGTGGACATCTTATCTTACCTTAAGCCCCAGCTGCTTTTCAAACCGTGGTGACACAAAGGACCATGGACCCATGTTCTGTGGTTCTTCCTGACTCCAGATGAAGTCTAAAGGAAGGATAAGGGTACATTACAAATGCACATATTTATCTTTTCAGCAGCTCAAGGAGGACAGTTTTTTCTTTTTTTAGCACCTCTACCTTTTTTTGCCTTGGCACTGCCTCTAAAATGAAGGCTTGCTAGATTGAATTCCCTTGCAGGTCCCAGCTTGCTGAATTCAAACCCAAAGTGTGTCCACCATAGGGGTACACTGTGTGTATAATCAGTTTTTCTACTGCTGTTTTCAAAAGCTACTTAAAGGACTGAACTGCAAAGACCAATGCAAAAAAACATCCCAAATGGCTCACTCTGATTTTCAGTCCTACTTTTTGGAAGCAGAGAGACAATAGCAAAGAGACAAGTTCTTTTAGCACAAGACAAACATTTGCATCCAGAAACACTTGGATGTACAAGGGGAAGAGCAAAGTGGAAAAAGCCATTACAGCTCTTTATCCTAAAAGGCAGGCAACAGATTCAGTTCAATACTTCAAAGACACCAGAAACACAAAGGTAAAAGTCTGGCTGACCTTTTGCTTGGCTGTATTTGCTCAACTCTTGCTGTAGAGCCTCCAGGGGGAAAGGACAGAGCTCCTCAAGTCTCAGAATAGCTGTGTTGTGCTGCTTCTCTCCCAGTGTCTCTCTTTGCTTCACCAGAGCATAGTAATGCTTTCCAGAACACAGCACCACTTGGGTGACACTGAAGAAAAACAAAAATGTTTCCAAGTTAAGGGTTTTACAGAAACTCGATGCAGAACAGCTTCACACTTCCAACAAATACAACCAGCCAAACTTCAAAGACAACTTTATGAAGCTGAATTGCTTCCCTACACCATTCATTTCTCTTTTTTGCCTTCCATTGCCTCCCGCTCCCCTTCAACCTTCTCACTCTCTATAGCTACCTAGAAGGATGTTGTAGACAGGTGGGAGTTACTTCTGCCAAGCAACACACAACAGGACAGGAGGAAATGGCCTCAAGTTGCATCAGGGGAGGTTTAGATTGATATTAGGAAAAACTTCACTGAAAGGGTCAAGCACAGGAACAGGCTGCCCAGGGAAGTGGTGGAATGACCATCCCTGGAGGTATTTAAAAGTCTAAATGTGACACTTGGGGACATGGTTTAGTCATGGACTTGGCAATGCTGGGTTAAAGTTTGGACTTGATGATCTTGGGGGTCTTTTCCAGTTTAAATGAATCTATGATTCGGGTAACAGCTGCTCCCAGTGACTGTCAGCCAAGGAACATGGTGCAGAATAGTGCCCATCAGGTCAGTAACTACAGATTCAACCTCCTTGTGGGAGCAAGGGCCACCTGCCTGAACACCTCACTGTTTTGCAGACAGGTAACTACCTGGAAACTACCAACAATTACCAGAAGAAAAGGAGAGGAACAAGTAAAACTAAGCCACCACCCACAAAACAGCATTTGTCCCCCAAAGTCACCTCTTTCCTACCACTTCAAATTTGAGGTGTTAGGTAGGAGAAAGGGACAGGATATCCCTTCTGAGCTTCTCCTCTAAGCAAGTAAAGCTACCTTTTAGGATCTACTGAGGAGTCACCAATGACAGGCTTGAATGTTGTCCCTGGGGCCATTTCTTCAAAACTTGATACAGCAGCCTGCACGGGAGAGAGTTGGAAGTTACCAAGTCTTGCTACCTCTCCCTTAGGCCAGAGTCAGAAAGAATACTGAGACAGGGTTTTGGTAAGTACAAAATATAGCCTTCCCTCCCCCTCCTATTCCCATTCCCACTCCCAATGAAATGTGGAATGATAAGCTTCCCAAGAACACTGTCAGACCTAGAATCAACCCTACTTCTAGCTCACCTCCACTCAGCTTTAACCCTCAATCCATTCAGTCCCAAACAGGAAAAATCCCACTGATTTGACCCTAAAGCAGAGATCAGAGAACACAGAAAAACAACAAAAAGAAAGGGGAAGAGAACACAAAAGAGTAGGAAGAAGAGGATCAAAAAACCCAAAAAAACAGAAAAGGTATTTTTCAGCTTACTGGGAGCCTGAGTAACACTTTGGGAGATGCAACAATGAGAGGTTTCCTGAAGTTTCGGACCATTTGCCTCCGGAGTAAATGGAAATACTGTGCTGGGGTGGTGGGATGGACAACTGACATGTTGACCTGGTCCCCATCAACTCCCTCCTCTGAGCTGTCACACATCTGTATAGGGGGGACACAGCAATGCCAAAGAAAGCAGTGAGACAAATATGCAAGAAAAAATCCAGGCACACAAGACACACCGACCTGTATAGGAAGAGGTGAACAAATATCCCAATTCAGATGATTGCAAGGGAAGAATTTCAGAGAAGAAATGGCTTTAGCATTCAACTGGTAAGGTTACATCTGAATGCCTCCTTCCAGCACACTGCAACCAGGGCATGACAGATTTTTTAACAGGTCACGACTTCTTCATGAGAGTGGCAGCATCTCTCTAAAATGCTCCAAGCCCCTTTCTTTACTTGGATGAAACAGCTTTCATTTACTTACTACAGTCACAAGGGCACAACAATGAATTTTAAGGTGTTTTTTTTTTTTAAATGTGCCACAGATTCACTGTTATTTAACAGTGTGCAGCCTTCTGTTTGTATGATCTGTGTCTAAAGGACAGATGCAACAGGAACCACAAGCACTTATCACAAGGTTCCATCACAGTCTTGTACCAGAGCAGGTACACCAGGAATCCCCACTTTGCATTTCTGCAGCACTGCTCCCAGAGCACTGACTGCCAGTGCTGTGCTGGGGGACATGTGACCCCAACAGGGGTGGTGGGTACCTGCAAGAACCGTTCCATCCTGCAGGACGAGTGCTCAGGGCCTGCACCATCATAGCCATGGGGAAGAAGAATTACTATCCCACTCTGCAGAAGCCATTTGGCCTCACCTGGAAACACAGAATGAGGAGGAAGGGAAGAATGATTTCCACAGAACACATTACTTTGCAGAAACTACTCAGCAAAAAAGAACAGCTGATTTTCACATCATTAAATACAAGCCTGAAACATGCTGCTGGCATGCTGGATTTTCTAAAAATGTGCATAGTACAAATGATTCATTTTTACATATATTATCTCCTCGTACACTCACCTCCAGAGATGAAAGTGTCAAATATTATCTGGGCTCCATTAAAGAAGTCTCCAAACTGAGCTTCCCAAATTGGCAGTAACTTGGGGCTCTCAATGCTCATTCCATATTCAAAACCAAGCACAGCTTCTTCAGACAAGGGACTGTTACTCACCTAACAAAAGGAAATTGTTGGGAGGGGTAGGCAAGGAAGAAGACAACCCAGGGTTAAGAACCCTCAGAACCAGGCACATCAGTGCAGGGCACACTGAGGACATGCACTGCTAAAGGCAACTGATGGTCACCTCTGTTTTGCTTTTGGCTGAAGACACTGAGCGGAAAAGAATAATACTTGATCTCTCAAAGAAAAGCAAAACCCCTTGTTAAAGTTGTCGTTTGTAACTACAAAGAACAGGAGTGCCCTGACAGTTGTCTTGTCCCTGCATCTGTTGTTTGCCAGAACATACAGGCTACCTACGTGTATCCCAGCAGCCTTAAAACATGCATTGTTTCAGCATAACAGGAAGAAGGTGGTCTTGTGGACCACAGAACCCACCTCTAGGAAACCTTTCTGGTCTGGGGACATGTGATTCAGAGGAATGTAGGTATCATCTGTCTCTTGGCAAACCAACATCGCGTGTCGTTGGCTGAAGGTTCCTCTGCCAACATCTTGTCCACTTAGTCTGATATTAAACCCTTGCCAAGCAATAAACAAAACACTGAATTAGCAAGTCATGTAAAAAGGAAACATGCAGGACAACAACTCTCCATGTCCAAAATATTACATCTCTTGTTCTGTCTCTTCTTGGATTTCTCTCATTAGCAACATCAAATCTGAGATTAAATTCTTAACCCGTAGCAGCTCCAACTCACAAGGACAGAGATGCTCTGACATTTCTCTTCTCTCCTCCCTGCAGCCAAGAATCATTTTGGGGTACATGGTTCAATTTACTGAAGCAAACTGCAAAAAACATGCATTCTGCATCACAGGTAAATGGAGATAATGAATTCAGGCACGAGAGGAGGGAAAAGAAATAGTAGCATAAAACAGTGTACGTGGGAGCCCCACTGATTTCAGGTGCATTGCTCACATGCTTAGCCCTATGCACAAATATTTTTGGGGAGTGATAGGGAGCAACAATTCTTTGAAGACATTCAGAACTTAATCTACAAATATTAGTGACATACAGGATTCATATTTACCTTCTCTTGCAAATTATCAAATTTATACATCATATCAATCTTTTTACTTAGAAACACCTAACAAGTCTAATGTTATCCTTTATTGACATTAAAGCAAAAGTATTTTATTGTCTGCTGTCGCCTCTTACCTTGGCTCAGCAGAGAACCAAATGCTAAAGTTTCAGCTGTTGCCCAGTCCAGCTTTTTTCCTTCCTCCATTTTTTGAACCCTTGACTAAACAAACAAAGAACAAGGAAAAGTTACTATTTTGCTTTTTTCCATCTGTAGCTCTTTTGGTGGCACGGACCGATAACAGAAGCTAGGAAAAAAATAAAACACTATGGAGAGAAATGCTACATTCTTGCAGCCAGCTTAGGTTGGACTGGAATACACAGTCTTATTTAAGCACATCCTGAAGGTTGTCTGAGGGCCACAGAACCATGGATGATCCACATGTTCACCTACCAGTCAACAAACTGGACTGACAAATTAATCTTAGTTTGAAAATATTAAAAACCACAGCAGAGAGTGTAGTCTTGACAGAATTTTGGGTCTGTCTGGTTAGCAATGATGAAAAATGCCAGGTGTAAGTATTTCAGTCTCCAGAACTCGGCCCTGTTCTGCCCTGCAGAACTGCAGACAAATGATTGTGGGAGGCGTGTCTAAAGGCAGGAGGATGTGCCGGGGCAGATGGGCCCGAGAGAACACGCGCGGTCACATATAACTCTATTGGCTGAAGAAGTCACATGGTATTCTGGGATATAAGGAGCGGGAATTTCGAAATAAACTCTCTTTGATTACACCACCAGGAGGAGCTGAATTATTCCTTATATAAGGGCCTTGCCGCAACATATGGCGATCCGAACACGGACCTTTTAGCTTATATTAAGTCAGATATCTATCCTGAATCAGGAAATCAGCCGGGATCGTCTCGATTTTTGGAGACGGAAGTCTTTACCGCAAAAAACCTTGACGTCAATAATCCGTGGTCTTAGGGCATCTAAGAAACGGAAAGTTAGTTAGGAGCTCCAAAATATTAGGAAAGTGCACAGAAGAAAAGAAGAAAGAAGTTGAAGAAGAAACCGAGAGGTCAAGGAAACCACCGAATAGAGCGGAGAGGGTCACACGCAACATCACAAGCGGTGAGTCTGACTGGGACGCATTCCGCACGCCTAAGACTGCTCCCTGGGCGAAAGCGTGCCTGCAGCTCGGAGATCCGGGCCGTGGAGCACCTTAAGATCGTCAGGGAAAAGCCTGTCGGTCCCCCGAGTGTCGGTCATCTGCTAAAAGCGGCTCCGCCGCTGCCGACCGCTCCAGACCACGTGCAGAGGCGGCCTTGCCGCTGCCGCGTCTTAGCAACCCCAGCCACCGCTGACCCCCGCGGAGCCCCCGTTCCAGTTTTCTGTCCAGCAGAAACTGGCCGCGGCTCCCCGCCTGCTCGCCGCCGCTTACTGACCCCGCGGCGTGCTTAAAAAGCACTGCCGGAAAAAAGCCCCTGCGCCGCATTCAAACGGCGCGGGCTTTACCGAGGCGCCGCGCCTTCCGACCCAGCGCGCCCCGACCCCCGCACCGCCCGGCGAACTGCGGGAGCCCCGGAGCCGCTGCCGCCGCCCGCGCGGATCGCGCCCCGCCGCCGCCGCCGCTGCGGACGCCGTGATCGCCGGAGACGGAGCCGGACCGCGCCGAGCCGCCGCCGCGTGACTGCCAGCACCGCCAGCGCCGCCGCTTCGCAGCCTAGACACACCGATCGCCGCAGCCCCAAGCCGCCGCTTCTACAGCCAGCCCCCGCGCCCGTCGCTACAGCTGCCCGTGCCTGCCGCTGCCTGCGCTCGTCGCTTGCTGCCTGCACCGGGACATCAGCCGCCGCCTGCACCGGGACATCAGCCGCCGCCTGCACCGGGACATCAGCCGCCGCCGACAGAGAGCCAACACAAATCAACAAACCGACAGACCTTCTTCAGCAGCGCCGAGGCTCAAAGGTAACATGGGAAACTTTCTCCCCACCGAAGTATCACGGGACACAGACGCCCTGGCCGCACTGCTGAATCCTTATTATGTACAGGTTACAAGGGCTGAATTATCAGAGTTGGTGCGGCTCATAAAGGCAGCCGTACCAGAACTCCCTCTGGTTGAAGCCCTCAACATTCACATTTGGGAAAAAATAGGAAACCTTATCAAACTCAAGGCTCAGGGAGGAGACTCCCAAGCAAACAATGCTTATCCAGCCTGGCAAGCTATAATGACTGCGTTAAGCAGAGCCCACCAAAGAACGACAGACTCACACACCCCCACTCACGCTGCGAGCAGCAGCCCCACTTTTACGCGCCGCAGTTCGAACACACAAAGCTCGGCGGGGGGAGGGGGTGGAGCCGTTCACAATTCTACCACAGGGGAGGGAACCGGGAGCCCAAGGGACACGGGCCGGCGGGAAGGAGCGGGGCCCCAGACGCGAGGTTCCAGCCCGTGGGACAGCAGCAGGGGGTCCCTTGACGGGAATGGGGGGGCCAACCCAGCTTACTTGGCAACCCATCCCGTGGATGATCGCCGAGCAAGCGCCCAGGGACGGGCACCACCATCTCGCCCGCCACGCGGTACGGGCAGCAACCCGTCCTTCCCCGCCCCCGCGCCGCACTCACCGCCCACCACCGCCCACCCACAGGCAGCCGCTCTCGCCGGAGCTGCAGGGGGGGAGGGATGGGAGGAGGAACAGGGGGACTTCGGGATAGCCTTGCCGGGAGGGGATGAAGCAACGTACCGAGAGGGTACAATTGATAGATGGGCTTTATGCAGAGAGGAGGCATTGCGGACTGGGGACTTACAGGTTTTAGAAGCATGTCCAGAAATTATCGGTCCACGTCAAAGCCGCAGGTTCCAACCATTGCCACATGAACTAACCAAAGAACTGAGACAGCTAATAAGAGAAACTGGTGCATCATCCCCTAACACACTTGCATTTTTAGAAACACTAAGTTCCACATACATCTTCATGCCATATGATTGGAGAACCCTGTTAAAAATAAGCCTCCCTAACACACAGTACAATGCATGGCTGAACGATTTCAGAGAAATCTGTTCCGCTTATGCTAATGACCCACAAGCAGGGGTATCAGCACACCAGCTCACAGGGGATGGGAACTACCAATCAATAGATACACAAACCGGGTACAATAGAGAAGTATACGAAGTCATAGCAAAACATGCCATGCGGGCAATGAGAAAACTACCCACATCAGACAGAGACACAAACTTGTCATTTACAAAAATAATACAGGGCCCAACAGAACCTTACACACAATTCCTGGATCGGCTGCAATCTGCTCTAGATAGGCAGATTGAGAATGAGGAAGCCAGGGAAATCCTTAGCAGAACACTGGCTTTCGAAAACGCTAATGTTGATTGTAAAAGAGTTTTGCAAACCCTTCCTAAAAGGGAAACTTGTAGCATCTCAGAATTAGTTAGTGCTTGCCAAGAGGCGGGTTCGTTGACACACCAAACAGATTTACTGGCAGTAGCACTGAGTGCTCAATTAAGGACACAGCAGGGGGCCAGACCCAGGGATGGTTGCTACATTTGTGGGGCCCCCGACCACTTCCAAAGGAACTGCCCTCAGAAACCTCTAGCAGTGGCACCTCGAAAGCAACTCAAAGCTGCCTTAGCAGGTTTTGATGGTAACATTTCAGTTACTCTCCCTAAGCACAAACTTTGGGCAGAAATCAGTAATTTGCCTTTAAGAGCCATGACTAGATACAGAAGTGAGCCAATAAAAGGCCTCACAGTCTTTACAGATGCATCTGGGCGATCACAAAAGGTTGCAGTGACTTGGGTAAATCCTGACACAGGACAATGGGAACAAAAGGTACAGACCATGAACCAATGCTCTGTGCAAGTTCAGGAACTAGCTGCCATTCGTATTGCCTTGGAAAAGTTTTCTGAACAACCTGTTAATATTGTCACTGATTCTTGTTATGCTGCAGGGTTAGTTTCACGTCTAGAATGTTCATTTCTTCGGGATGTTTCTAACCCTCATTTGTTGTTTGAAATGCGTTGTATTTGGTTCCTTGTCAATCACAGAAGGTTTGATTTTTATATAATGCACATCAGATCTCACACTGATATGCCAGGGCCAATAGCTGAAGGGAACCGAGAAGCTGACAAAGCAGCAATGTTTAACACAGTACCTAGGACCCTTGAACAAGCAACATTGTCCCATTCATTTTTCCACCAGAATGCACACTCTCTAAAGAGACAATTCAAGATTACTATTAACCAAGCTCGAGATATCATATTGACTTGTCCAGACTGTCAAAAAATTACCCCATGCCATCTCAGGAAGGTGTTAACCCCAGAGGGTTAATATCTAATGAGATATGGCAAACAGATATCACACACATTCCAGAATTTGGTCCATTGAAATATGTACATGTAACTGTAGACACACATTCACAGTACATCACTGCTACAGCACACACAGGTGAGAAAGCCAAGGATGTAATAAGACACTGGCTAAGCTGTTTTGCTACCCTTGGCACTCCAAAACAGATCAAAAGTGATAACGGACCAGAATACGTCTCTGAAAAGGTGAGGAATTTCCTATCAGAATGGGGAATTTCACATATTACAGGAATTCCACACTCACCTACGGGACAAGCAATTGTAGCAAGGGCACACCGCACACTGAAAGAGATGTTAGTAAAACAAAGAGGGGGGGAGAAGCTGTGTAGTCCGCAAGAACGGTTGTGGAAATCCACATATGTGATCAGTTTTTTGAATTGTGACAGTGCTGAAAGAAGCAGATACGAGAAGCAGCTCAAATCTCAGACGTTTGCCTCTCCCAGGCCACTAGTCATGGTAAAAGATTTGATCTCGGGACAATGGTCAGGACCTTTAGATCTTATGACTTGGGGGAGAGGTTACGCTTGTGTGGCAACAGGAAAAGAACTGAAGTGGATTCCCTCCAGGTGTGTAAAGCCCTATTTGGATACACAATCACAGCTGCAAGAACCAGATAACACAGGAGTTTAAAAAAGAGTTTTGTTATGTTGCAGTTTATATTAATGACCAGTGTGGTAACAAGCAATCTACAAATATCGGTGTGTGTATGTGTGTGCGTGAATGACGGCCGTCAGTGTGTGAGATGAGTGAGTGAATAAAAGAATTGTATAACTGGAAAACATAAAAAACACAGAATACCTCACAAAACCATATTACCTACACCACAAGGTCACTTTGGAAGAATTGAGTTTTTGATATGCTTACCCTGTTTCTTGAATAAAGTTTGAAATCCCCAGTTATTAAAAAACCCTCAGATTAATAAAGGTTATAGTTTACAATAGTTGGGCTAAGGCCCTAAGTTAATAAGGTAGTTATCCAAGTTGCATTACCCTGTAGGAATATAAGAAGGTTTTTAACAGGTTTACATTAGAGTTAAGAAACTGAGCGAAGCAATGTGCTGGGTCGCTGCAAAGCTCGGTAGTTTACAAATGTTCTGGTTGTTTGCACTGTTTTTTTGTGACTTCTTTAGATGTTTGAGGGAGGGGATATGTGGTAGGTGTGTCTAAAGGCACAAGGATGTGCTGGGGCAGATGGGCCCGAGAGAACATGCACGGTCACATATAACTCTATTGGCTGAAGAAGTCACATGGTATTATGGGATATAAGGAGCGGGAATTTTGAAATAAACTCTCTTTGATTACACCACCACGAGGAGCTGAATTATTCCTTATTATATAAGGGCCTTGCCGCAACAAATGATCACACCCAGCTGTGAAGTTCTTGCCTTGGGCTGGGAAGACAAGAACATCAGCCTTCTGAAATAATCAACTCACAGCCTCTCTACAGCTGCCAACCAGACACCTGCACATGCTCATCATTCATCAGAGGGAAACATTCACAACCCCAAACCAAGCCAAACCAAACACAAACTTAGGAGCTCTCCAACCCTGGCTGTCAAATTGGGCCACGTGTTCTCTGATGTTTATATATATAAACCATAAAACACTCACTACTGGCTGTGGAAACTGTGTACATGATTACCAGGTTCCTGACTCATTCTCTCACAAAATACTGATTCTAATCATAAAGTATATGTTAGTCATTTATCATACCAGTTCCTATTAGTTGTAAGAATAATAAACTGATAAGTTTTTTTCTTCATTGCAACAAAATGTTGAAATAACAAAATAACGTATATGGTCAGATCTGGGGGGAGAAGACACATCTTTCTTCAAACCTGGAGAAAAAAAGTTGCATAATCTGAACCTTGAAACAGTGAGCTGGTTTTCTTCCTAGAGAATACCATGCTACTCTCTAACTGGCAGTCTTAGTGTGTTTAGATTTTTCCTGTAACGGGTCGTACCTCTGAGCAATGGGACCAGAAACATCACCACCCTCTACTGACCTGCGCGTAGGTCTTCAGGAGGTGGCTGTGCATCTGGAGCTCTTCGGGCACCTCCACAGACTTGACTCCGATGAACTGCAGCAGTGGCACAGGCATCCCTGTGTCCCAGGTGGTGATTTTAGCAGAAGGCTCCACGAAGCCTTTCCAGTGAGCCTGCAGGTTGGTGGCAGGTGGGCTGTACGACGTCATGTTGGCAAGGTGGTCGTTGAGTTTGGAATAGTACGTCGTCTTTATCTCGGACACTTCGGCCTCAGTCATGAGCCCAGCAGCTGTCAAGTGCTCTGCATACGTGTCAGGGATACTCTTACGGGATCTGTCAGGGAGGGAATCAAACCCCATAGAGATGAAATCTGAAAACACTGTCACAGAACAAGAAAATACCACCTTACTACAGCCAGGTACCATGGAAAACTAAAATAAATGGTGTCCTGGTGCATTACAGTCATTTGCATCAAGCCTGCTTTCCTGGGATTTTCAGAAAGATAACAGTTCTCTTGGATATGTATTTTACAGTCTTTTATTTAAAAATAAAAAAAGATGCCTAGAGTTGGCAGTTACAGGTAAAAATGAGTCCAAACCCCTTCTGTTTTACCATGCATATTTTCTTCAGAGAAATTCACACTAGGACTTCAGCATTAGATGAGAATCAAGCCATCCATTCTATAAATGCTTTACCTAAAACACCGGAATTCACAGGCCAGTAAATTTTTGTGTATTTTGCTTTGGGGATAAGGATGGGATCTGAATACATTTAAATGCTCATGAAGATGAGCAGGACCAGGCAAAGACAAGACAAACATCACACTGGCTTCCTGCCCATTCTCCCACATTATCCACGCTTCCCCTTGGCACCCAGAAGACAACTTTGCCTTCTGATTACTAATGGTCACGAATTTGAAATCCAAGAGCTGTGTGTTCCAAGAGGCATCAAACTGCATATTTAAGAGCCAACACTAGTGATTACCCTCATTAACATCTCATTATCAGAGTCACACCTCAGTCAAGGGCTGCTGACAGTGTAGCTGCACTTACATGAAGACCTGTCCATATGGTGGAGGATCTTAATTACACAGAAACTTCTGCTGCAGCAGCAATACTGAGTTGGTGTAGACCCAAGCACATTTGGGGTTCCCCATGAGGTGGTGGAACCCTCCCTTACCTGATGATTTTGTACATGCAGGGGTTGGTGAAGAAGGGCTCATCCAGCTCGTTGTGGCCCCACTGCCTGTAGCACAGCAAGTCTACGATGACGTCCCTGCGGAACTGGCGCTGGTACTCGACGGCCAGGCGTGTGGCACGGACAACTTCTTCAGGATCATCCCCATTCACGTGGATAACTGCACACCCAATGATCTTACCTGCCCAGGGATTTGGAACATAACAGTAATCACATGAAACCCCTTCCAGAGAAAACAGACACCTACTCTGCTGAAATTACAGACAACTCATGCGAAGTGAATGTAACAACAAATGAACGACAGATGCTTTTTGTGATGGGAGCTGGGGTAAGGAGAGGAGTCTTCCCTGAGAGACAGTACAATTAGCCCAACCTCTTGAATTTGTGACAGTTTGAGCACAACTTCTTTACAAGCACTAAATTCCCAGAGGACTTTCTATACACATTTCCTGCATGTTATTGATCTGGAAGTCTGCAGGGAATGGGAGAGAATTATTTGGTCGCTCCTCTTTCAAACAAAAATTAAATTTTATTTCCTTCTTATCCTAAGCTATCACTACTATGATTTCATACAGGCCAGAAACAACCTTCTCCCTTGTCCCCGGTTCCAGAGAGGTTTCTTCATTAAAGAAAACACTGCAAAATTCAAATGTATCAACACCCTCCCCTGTATGACAATTTGGCTGCAAATCCTCCCAGCAACAGTGTTCCTCCTGTACTTTATCTGTCCAAATTCTGGGAAATAAGGATATTTCAGCCATTCCTGACCTGTGTCAAGTTTCCCTCCTTAGCAAAATCCTGAAAGTCAAATGGTAACATCTTCCCTCCTCACTGACAGGTAAGAAGAAAGGAAAATTGAGGATGGAGGAAAAAAACCAACAACAACAAACAAAACCAACCATAACACAAAACCAGCCCAGGGAAAAGTAGTAATAACATATGCTATCTACCTTACCAGAGTAATGAATCTACCTGTTTGGTTTGATGAAATCATAAAACAAACACAAATACTTAATGTTAAGTCTTAAAAACATATAAAAGTATATTTTTAGTTATAAGTGACATACACAAGAGAACTTACTATTAAGTCTCTAATCCTACTGATAATACATCTGTTTATCACTAAGAAAGATCAGTCCAAAACAAAAGACTTCTAGTTTAAGCTTGGAAAGGTCTTGAGCCTCATCTTTCCATTAAAAGCTCAACAAGCTCACCTGACAACAAACACAACAGAAAAATGAAGGAGTATCTGCCCTATAAATGTTGCTCAAAAAACACACTGGGATGATTTTGATGAAATTTAACAAGATGTTACACACTCCATCGCAACACTTTTTTGAAAGCTGTCAATGACATGACAGAAATTAAACGAGT